GAATGCCCAAGTTTTACCCCACAAATCAAAGCATTTTCAAATGGGGCTCCTGGGGGATTGTGAAGTTATGAGCAGCAGAGAGGCATCAAGTTATAGTTTAATTAGGAGCTGCATAAACACTCAATATTCAAAGCAGAATTCACAAAATAACTGAGCACAAGCATAAAGATTCAGACTCTTCCTCCTGTTCCTCCTTCCTCTTCTTCTAAGATGAAAACAGCCTATATCTTAAAACTAGCCCTTTGTGAAAGACCAAGAGAGAGGCCTGGGCCTCCGGATTCCCCTTGGTGTTTAATAGTGGGGACAACTTAACAAGAAGGCCCAAAAAGGGCCAGGCTTTGTTTCCTGTTAAAGTAGAGAGGGCAATAGGAAGGAAGGGACATGGTCTCTGACTTTAAGTGCTCTTGGTCCTGCCCATCAGTAACTTGGCCTAATCAGTATACTGTTGTGACCAACTGGCTTATGCTGATTTGCTCCTTGATGATATCTGCTTAAATGTTCAGGGAATCCATATTTGTTTTACCTCATCCATTGTGTCTTTCATCTTCAATATTTTATTCTTTTGAGGAAATTAGCCCTGAGCTAACATGCATCAGCAATCTTCCTCTTTCTGCTGAGGAAGACTGTCCTTGAGCTAACATCTGTGCCCATCTTCCTCCATTTTATATGCGGGACACCTGCCACAGCATGGCTCGATAAGCAGTGCTAGGTTTGGGCCTGGAATTTGAACCAGCAAACACCAGGGTGCCAAAGCAGAGGACATGAACTTAACCACTACACCACTGGGCAAGCCCCTCCAATATTTCTGATTGGTTCTTCTTTATAATTTTAACCGCTTTTTTGAAGTAGCTCCTGAACTACATGAATTATTCCTCTACATTCTCTTTTAACTAGTTGGGCTTTTTGATGATGGCTATTTTGAATTATCTGTCATTAAGGTTACATATTTCTGGGTCTTCAGGATTGATTTCTGGGTATTTGTCATTTTGTTTCTGTTCTGGAGATTTAATATAATTTTTGATACTGCTAGAGGGCACGGCTCTGTTCTTGCACATAGTGGTATTATTTGGTCATAGTTACCACTTATCGCCACTGGGTGGGAGTCAAGAGCTGTGTATTCAGAGCCCTCTCTGTTCTGCTGGAATCCAAGGCACTAGGGCTGGTGCTGAGTAGTAGGGGGAGGGGTGCTCATTCTGCGTGCTCTTGGGATTTTCTTGCTCTGCCCTCACTATCTGCTCTCCTGAGGTGTTGGCTTGATGAAGTTAGCACCACAATAGCTTTCCCCTCCATAGGGGGCTTTCCTCTAGGCTAAGAGGAACCTCAGGGATCTTTGATGTTCCTGCAAAGGGGCAACCCCTCCCCCTTCCTTCCCTCTCACAGGTGCTGGCAATCTCTAGATTGCAATCTTTCAAGGAGGGAGTAACACATTCTCTTACCCCATTCCACCTCTTCTGAGGGGGAATTCAGCCTCTCCACCTTCTGATGTATAGCTGTGTGGCACTCTCAGATGTCTTTTGTGTTGTGTGGATGTTCTCTGTTGGAATATGAATGTATTTTTCATTGTATTGTGGGAAAGACAATTCACTGAGAGAGCTCCCTATGACATGATGGTGATGTCATTCCCCTAATGTGAGTTTTTTAAAAAATATTATCCCTCGTACTATTAATAATTCTGCAATTCCTACCTTTGTAAAAATATATATATAAAACTATGGATGGAAAATTCCATTGTTAATACCTTTGAGAGACAGACAAACTGGGATAATGCCTTGGAAAATTTCTGCCTAAAAGATTATAGGAAGCAGTGTTCTTCCAATATAAAATCTAAAATATTTCATATTCCCTCTATAAGAAGAAGGAACATTATCCCTTTGCCCTAAGTAGAAGAAAGTATAATATTATTGACAACATAAAATAGAAAGATATAATTTTCCATCAACATGCTTTATGGAGAAAATGAAAATAAGCAAATCCTCACATATACCCCTCAGAAAATGCTAAGCAAGCAAAGCTTTTTCTAGATTAAAACCACAAGTTTGTTACATGAGATAGTCACTTGAAATAAAATTTCAGAAATTGCAGTTAATATTGGGCTTACCTGACAGTTCTGATTTATTTCTTAATGCTTTTAATATTAAAGTGCATTAAATGCAAAGCCTTTTCTAGATTAAAACTGCAAATTTGTTATATGAGATTATCACTTGAAATAAAATTGCAGAAATTGCAGTTAATGTTGTGTTTGCACTACAGTTCTGAGTGATTCCTTAATACTTTTAATATTAAAACGTGTCATTTACAAACTAATTTCACTCAGTCCTTTAGGACTAACAATAGCAAAAAATAAACTAATAATTTGTAGTAAACTCTACAAAAAGATAGTTGATAAATAGTGTGGGGGCCTGGAATTGTCCACCCCAAGATATGTCTCTTTGGCATGAGGATTATTTGGGGCTGGTTGCTTTTAATACACTGCAGATAGGAAAGCAACTGAAAAGTAGAATTTACTTACCCTTTTGTTAAGAGACATTTGCATTTGTAAGGGAAATCTCCATCTGTAAAGTTGTCCCCCTCTCTATACCCGGAAGAACAAGGATGACCTTATCTCTAGAAACTCCTATCAATACAGAATGCAAGGACTTAAATCTGCATAATAATCTTATTCCTGTTTCTGGTAACCTCCTGTAACTGACTCTCCCTACCCCCGACATCCTCCTTTGTCTTTAGCTGGATATGATATTTAAGGTGGTGGCTTCAGCCATTTTGGCAAGTTGCTCAGCTTGCCTGAGCCTCTCCCATGTATACATGTCATAAAGCTTTGTTTAATTTTCTCCTATTATTCTGTCTCATGTGAATTTAATTCATTCTCCAGCCAGACAAACCCAGAGAGGGTAGAGGAAATGTCTTCCTCCCCTACAATAGTTACCCAGATTTTTGGTACTTCGGTGTTTTAAACTATTTGATAGCACTCATATTTTAACATTTCTGGGAAAAAAATATTCATATTTGTTAATGGGAGGAAGCTGGGGAAGACTTCTTAGTAGATTTTAATTTCAAAAATACTCTGTGCCTGTGTGATCTTATTCATGGAGTCGAACATTTTCTTCATGTTTGTGTGGAGATTCAGTGGAAAGAAAACAGATACATTAGGACGCAGTACTCAGGTCTTCAAGTGGATCCCATAGAATGATCTTCTTGATAAGACTGTGGCAAACAAATTAAATTTTAATTAAAAGAAAATCTAAAGAAAAATAGTGGAACAGCAATGTAATGCAAAATTGCTTTGAAAACATCGACAACCAGGTAGTAATTATCTCTCATCCATAAATTTTCAATAACTTCTCGATTGGTCTTCTCACCTCCATGCCTTTGTACCTCAGATCTGTCTTTCTCACTGCTGTTATAACGCTTTTTTCCTAAAATATACAGGAAAACACCTCTACTTTTCTGTGTGAGTCATTGAAAGTTCACAGAAAAGTAGGAGTGATTTCATAATTCTGTAAACACAGTGAATTCATTTGAATTTTACATTTTAAAGAGGTGAATTTTATGGTAAGTAAATTTTGTCTCACTATATAATCTATTAAAATAGTGATATTAAAAAATAATTTTTTAGCAAAAATATTTTTATAATTTTAGAAATTTTAAGTAATGAATTGATGTATTTTCTGATATTTCTTTCACACTCATCAGTTTTTCCTTCTGTGAATTCCTCTTACAATAAGCTATATGGCTTTTAAAGTTTTTTGCACAGAAAATTGTTGTGCTAATGAGTTAACCATTAAATCTATAGGATTAAAATGCAATTTGGAAATAGCTGTCTGGTTGAATGTAAAAGTGAATTTTAGATTGGTTATAGCATTTTAATGATTTCAAAATCGGCCTCTTAATAATAGGAGAAAACTTATCCATGTCTGTTTTTTCTGATCTACAGTTATGCTTTCTCTTGATTTAAAAAATAAAGCAAAATATAGGGGTCTAGTATATTTTTCTTATCATCATATTAAGAATTAGAGTTTTCTAAATCTGACTGTATATCATTTACCTTTTCCAGTGTGTTGTATATTTTCATACGTTTTCTTGTTACTAATTAGTGCTTTTTCATTTTAGCTAAAGAAATCCTTTCAGCATTTCCTGTAATGTAGATATGGGGTAACAAACTCTCTTACCTTTTATTTGTCTACAAAAGTCTTTATTTTCCCTTCATTTATGAAGGATAAACTTACAAGGTAGAGTATTCTTAGCTGGCAATTATTTTCTTTCATCACTCTGAATGTATCAATCCACTCTCTCCTGACCTGTAAGAATTATGCTGAAAAGTCTGCTGAGAGCCTAATGGGGGTTTCTTGGCAGGTTACAATTTTCTTTTCCCTTGATCCTTTTAGGATTCTCTCTTTGCCTTTGATTTTTGATGGTTTCATTAATATATGTCTTGGAGAAGATGGTTTTGAGTTTCAGTATTGGGGTGATCTATTAGCTTTGTTAACTTGGATATCCAAATATGTCCCCAGGTTTGGAAGATCTTGGCTACTATTTCTTTAAACTTTCTGCCCCCTTTTCCCTCTCTTCTCATTCTAGAACTCCAATGATTCAGATATTGAGTTTTCTGATGATGTCCCAGGAATTACATAGAAATTCTTCAATCTTTTTCATTTTTTTTCTTTGTTGTCCTTTCACAGAGTTATTTCAAAGTTTCTATTCTCTAACACACTGATTCTGTCTTCTGTTGGACTATCCTGCTATGGATTCTATCACGTTTTTCAATTCATTCCTTCAGCTCCAGAGTTTCTATTTGGTTCTTTGTTAAGATTTCCTATCACTTTGTTAAATTTCTCATTTTGTTCATATATTATTTTTCTAATTTCGTTGTATTATCTTTCTTTTAGCTCACTGAGTTTCCTAAAAACAACCGTTTTGAAATCCTTATTGGGTGAATCACAGAATTCTGAGTCTTTTCATTGGTTACTGGAAGATTATTGTTATCTTTGGTGATGTCGTGTTTCCTTGATTCTTCATGTTTCTTGGAGTTTAGCATTGTTGTTTCTGCATTTGAAGTATCAGTCTCCTCTAATCTTTACAACTGCCTACAGGTAGGAAATACTTTTCATTGGTACCATTTATGTCTGAGGCTTTCTCAACCTTGTATAGATGCTACTGCTCCACATTTTTGCTCCATTTTATGGCAGAAATCTTAGGCTTGTATGTCTTCTCTTGATCTTACAACTCACTACAGCAGCTGTATGAAACTTCTCTTTTGTTTTCCAGAAGGTGGCACTGAAGCTCCAGATTTTGATTTCTGCCTTGCCCATGGAGCTTGGCTTGTTTTCTGTGCATAATCTTTGTTTACCAGAAGTTGCTCTCACTGCTGCCCTCAGGAGTATGCACAATGAGCTGGTTGCAGGGTTGGGGGAGGCGTAAGGTTGGCACTTGGAGCTTTAAAAAAATAACTAAAAATGAATAAATCAAAGGATTTCAAGTCTCAACTTGTCTTGATTATTGAAGTATAAATACTCTAATTAGTTTAAAAACATTTTTTGACAGGTGTTTGAAATATTTTAATTAAATTTGGCTTCATTTTCTATAGTTTCATCACTCATTGAAAGAAGAAGTTCTGGAGTTGAGTGTTAAGAGTCCAGCCTCCATTATGTTTACAGAGATTCATGGTGCTGCATCCCTCCTTGGAATCACTCTTTATCCGGGCAAATCCCTTCAAAGAGAATGGCCAGAATTTTGTGTTTAAAGAATAAATCACTTCCTCTGAAAATTTACATTGGATTTTAAATTTTATTATAGTACATGACTGCTTTTTAGAACAAACTAGAGGTATTTGGGAAGGTGATTTGTTTCACAACCTAAAGTAATTTTTCCTAAGGGCTTTGAAGATTTTTTCCTAAGGTTTTCTCCCTTTATGCATAACCTTTAATTGTGCATATTCTCAAATGTAGTTCGTCTAATCAGGTTGATGTCTTTGAATGCTTATTCTTTCAAAATATTTATGTACTTATATCTTCCCATGCTAGAACAAGAGAAATGTCTAATTTCTTTAAGATTTGTTGTGTTATTGAAAGTGTTTTTGAAAGACAGTGGTATATGAAGCTATTACTTCCCATAAAGAAATTTAGATGATATTTTCTTGTTCTTTCGATATCTTCTCAAAGACCTTTCTTTCTTCTCTCTCATCTCTTTAATACATAGACATTGAGTCCTTCAGCAGAGGTGATATTAATATCTTTTCCCCTTCATTTTAATTTAGGAAACCATATATCTGTAATCAATAAAAAATAGAAACTTATAAATGTAGACTCCTAGTATGGAAAAAACTTAGAGACCATCTCACAAAGTTTTAACAATTCCTGACAAAAGTCATTTTATGGAGCCAGCCTGGTGGTGCAGCGGTTGAGTTCACACATTCCGCTGGGCTACCTGGGGTTCCCAGTTTGGATCCCAGGTGTGGACCTATGTACTGCTTGTCAAACCATGCTGTGGCAGGTATCTCACATATAAAAGTAAAGGCGGAAGGGCATGGATGTTAGCTCAGGATCAGTCTTCCTCAGCAAAAAATGGAAGGATTAGTGGCAGATTTTAACTCAGGGCTAATCTTCCCCGCAAAAAAAAATCATTTTATGATAAGAGAGTTTTATAATGAGAAAAATGTAAATATCTCAATTGATCAAGAAGTTCATAATCTAAAATCTAGGCTAACAGGACTGTCTTAATCTCCCAGAGCCATTCATTTTAAATATAACTCTAGTGAGATGTGTCTGCCAGGAAACTTTACAACAGGATTTGCATGAGTACCTCTAAAAATGATGGGATAATTTTAGAGAAAAATAACATATTTAAACTGCAAAAAATATTTGCTATATTTCCTAATTAAAATTGTCAGTAAAAATAATTTCATTCAAGCATGAACTATAATAAAATCCATAAGGTGCAGGATAGTTTCTTATTGTTTTCTTTGCAATTAAGATCATTAAAGATCTTTCTAATGACTATCCCTAAGAAAGTCTTCTAAATGTCAATTTGTCATTAGATTATTTCTTAACGAGTCATCCTTTAACATTTCTTGTCTTTCTAAAGTGATGAGACATTTGGCAAAATTCCAATTCCACGCTTTAAGAAATAGTTTTGAATGAGAAGTCTATGCAAAATTATTTTCTTTATTGAACAATATACACTCCAGGGGCCAGACTGGTAGCACAGTGGTTAGATTCATGTGCTCTGCCTCAGCAGCCTGGGGTTCACTGCTTCAGATCCTGGGTGTGGCCTTATACACTGCTCATAAAACCATACTGTGGTGGCATCCCACACACAAAGTGGAGGAGGATTGGCACAGATCTTAGCTCAGTGACAATCTTCCTCAAGGGGAAAAAAAAAGAATATAAACTCCAAAATCAAAGGAACTAGCACATTTAATAACAAATGTACTTACATTTGACAATATCTAACATAAGATTTTCCATATACAGGAGACAACAAAATAGGCATAAAACTCAGAAAAAAATAAGGTACCCTACTTACCTGTGTTCAACCACACACACACACACACACACACACATCTCTGCATGGTATTGTGGTTTTGACTTCTTTCTCTTAGTCAGATAATCTGAAGAGCTCTACAGGACCATGACCATGGATCTTACTGACCAGCCCGTACCTGACATGTCAAAGCACTGTGCCATAAAACTGGGGTTAAAAAGGTGAAACAATTATTACTGTAATAATGAAGTGAAGCATTGCAAATCACCTATTTTATTTTTCCAACTTTGTGCTTTTGCTCACGCTATTTTTGTTGTTAGAAATAAGTTTATTTCCCCATTAATATAAAGTATTGCCTCTTCTACAAGGAGAAGATGTGAAAATCATTCAAGAAAAGAATCATCTTTTTCTTCTTTCACATTTATATGTCTTTGTGCCAATTAAAACTTGTATGTAACGAAAGAGAGGAAAATAATGTATTTATTTCTACGTGAATTTTTTTTATTTTAAAATAATACTACTATATTATTTTAAAAATCTCCTAAATCAAGCATTTTTTCTGAATTATATTTGTGATGAAGCACGGAATAGCTGAAAACCTTTGACCCACAGCCAATGGATTCATCTCTTATCAATAATAGTCTCTCAATGTTATTGGGTGCTTCCTGGCCGAAGTGTTAATCATTTTGCTCTTTATCAGAAACAAAAAGATGCTTACTTTATTCTTTGAATTTTGGTAAGTCTGGAAAAACAAGACGGTGTATTTTTCTCTAAGATATAAGTTCAGCTAGTCACTAACATCTGTATTAAGAAGATTCAATTCTTGTTACAAAACTTCCTCACTTTCTGTTTTAATTTTTCTACTCAACTATTCCAAGATATTTGGAATTGAGTATTGAATTCCATTTCTAGACCTCATGGTGTGACTGTGGCCACACTAGCCGTATACCATAGACAACTAGTAAACTGGACAAATATTATATAACAACTTTTTTCAGACATTGAAGATTAGGTATCACAAGAACGTGATAACTAAGGGACAGAAACTTGATGAGGTGAACCCTAAGATCACTCCAGCTTTCTGGGTATAGTCACTTTCCGGATTACACTGCAAGGAACAGGATATCCAGCATGAACTGGGGGTATTGCTGCATAAGGAAAAAAAGATGGAATTTGATGATAAGTGAATTTTTGGAATTGAATGTGCATAATTTGGAAATTCAAAATGACCAGCACTATTTTCTACTGAAAATTAAGCTACTCAGAAAAGACTTTGTTTTGACCTGCTAGAACCAGTTTTCACATATGGCCTTAAACTGACTTGATTTTAATACCAATCTTACATCTCTCAGCCCTGTCAAATGTTCAAACTGCTAAAATTCCAGGTTAATAGAATGTGACCTCTTCTTTATTATCTGCATATCTGATTTTTGAGGATAAGAAAGGTAAAGATATCCCCAGTATTCCTGGCTAACCCTGTCAAGGTAAAAAGCCAGATGGAAAAGATCCAATTTGGGAAATTGGCCCTAAAACTTTCAGTTGTTCTTTTTAAACAGTGGTGCCATATCAGAGACAGACTGATTCTATTGCTAACAGAGTTGATACATTTGACATTCAATTTTAGGAGTAATTACATGACCTTTGTTAAACAAAAGCACAGAGATTTGGGCCCATGCACAGCCTCACTCTCTGCCATTATGGCCACTTTACTAATTTACTCTTGGGACTAGAACTGGGGTGTTTGAAGACAGAGAATGGCTGAAGACAACTGGTTGGGTCATTTTGCCTGGTTTATTGTTTAGCACCGATCGCATGATGGATGCTCTCTAGTGAACATTAACATGGTGTCCTATGGTCACGTGTTCCATCCGTAACAGGGTCCCATAACATGCCAGGACTTGTTTTTGCAAACACATGTAATTCTTCAGTCCAGATGACATTGGCTTGCTGTGTTGTGATTCCCCCATTAGGCTAGCCACATATTCCACACAGCTAGTGTAGAATGTGCAGCGCCCTTTTTGGTGGCCTATTCTGTCCCTAGGGCTACCTGCTCTATAGCTAAATCCATAACTTTTCATGGGTTAGCCTGCTGGATGCTAATCTGATCCTATTGTTCACTGTGATCATTGTGCCCCCCTGAATTCTGATGCTTGAGCACCATTCCTTGGTCTCTTTCATTTTTGGATTTGATTCTGATCTATATCAGTGACCTCAATTTTATAATGACCAAAAAACCTGTCCCTCGGAGGATAGCCACACTGAGCTCTCCTTATAACTTTAGTAAAGAACCATCTGGTAGATTTTCCAGACTTACTTATCTATCTTAACATATCCACTGCTCAAAATCTTTTGATTCTTTCTCCCATATTTTGCCATGGCAATTCTTGAACATCAGGTCACTTTGTGTGGCACATCACTTTTCCAAGTTTCTATGGCATCTTAGTAGTTTTTTACTGCCATCTCCTGGAGTCTGAACACCGTGTATTAAATCCTATGTCCTGAGAGAGTGCTGCAAAATAAAACTATGCTTCATTATGCAACTGTATATTCTATTTTCCATAATCCAGTTGCTCAGCATACAGTTCCCTAAATAATCTTCCAGTTCTTGGTGTTAAATATTGATTAGATTGTTCAATTCTTTGCGTAATAATATCTTTCCCTCCTTGGTAGTCCAGGTTATTCCTGGGTGTATTACAATGTGACTCAACCCCCTAGTTATTGGCCTATGGCCAAGAAGGGAGGTAAGTGCATATACTGAGAGGGACACATGATGTCCTGTGGGTAGAAGATACCTCATCATTGGTTGAAGGTCATCCTCAAACAATGGAGAAGTGCTATCCCTTCACAGAGAGGAGTAGGCCACTTCTGGGGACTCAGAAGTTTCAGGGGAATCTGGAATTTCAAAATCATCATGTACAATAAACCATTTATTAGATGTCTTGGAATTCTGTTCTTTCTCAACTAGGGCACTAACCTTGGTAAGAGATCAGACTAGGTTGGGAATTTAGGTATAATTGGAAAAGTTTTATTTTTAAAATGATACAGAATTTATTAGGCCTTCTGTAATAGATGAGAATCTCTTTACATGCTGCCAAGGAGGCCTCTGTGGCTTTCACACTTAGCCTTAATTTGATGGTTAATAGCTGTCATTTTTCCATTATATTCTCCAAAACATGAATTCAGCAGAAGCAATCATTTAGTTCCATTTTCCTCGTAATTTCCACTTTTCTGATATTTATCAAATACCTGATATATCATAACTGCTAGTGCCTTTCTTTCCAACAG